AATCTGAATCTGAATCTGAATGTCTGGAACTGTGGAATAAAAATAATAATAATAATGTCAGAAACAATGCCATCTAGAGTCCCTTTGAGGCCAGCACTGACATAATGAAGAGGCGACTGTATGTGATAGGATTTAGAAAAAGGCCTTAAACAGCATTTTGCACTGACAAGTATGAGCTGCCAAAGGCAAAGCAGGAAAACAAGGAATTACTACAAACCAAATGAAACCAAAAATATGAATAATTCTGGCATTGTGGCTTAGAGAAATTGAATAAGTCCCTTTCTCTTCTCAGAATCTGCCTCTGTCCTTGTGTCTCCATCCCTGTCTCTCGTTCTCGAGCTCTGTCTGCTGGCGCGAGCTTAGCAAAATGTCTAATAGTGAGGTGTCACTTATTCACGGAGATGAGAGGGAAGGACCCTCCTGCGGTGCTTATTAGCTGTAATGCATTCCTCTGCTCTGCTTTGATCACTGTGGGAGACCATGTGATGCTTCCTGCCATCTCATTTGTTTCATGTCTTAAATTTTCAGTCTCTCTATCAGCTGCCTTTCATTCGTCTCCATCTCATTCTCTCTTACAAATATGCATATGTAAGCTCACACTGACATGAATGGCTTGACTGAGCCAGGTCTTGGGGCTACATGTTGTATCCGATGTCTGTCTGATGTGGTATAATGTGTTTTGTATGGCGTGTTATGCTCTAGGGTTGGCAATGTTGGTCTGTTTATCTGTCTGTCGGTCAGTCAACCACCACTTCGGTTCAGACTGAAACATCTCAACAACTACTGAATGGACTGTCATTAAATTGGTACAAATATTAATGATCATAGAATTACAAAAAAGATTCATATAAAACACTGTTCTTAAACGTACAATATGTAATTTCTGCTGCTAACAATAACAAAAGATGAAGTTTGATGACATTGTGAAATAGTGTGGGATCATGGGAGTTGTTCACTTGTCATTGCAGCTTCTCCTTGTTAGGATTCCGTCAGTGTTCAGGAAGTTTCTACCAGGAGCCAAATTATCAAAGGTGTCCTCCTCTCCAAAATAACAGACCCATCAGTGGGTCTGTTTCTTCCTTCTTCCTTCTTTTTCCAGTAACTGTATTTCTGTCATAGGTATTGTGTGTTTCAGCAATAAAGCTGAAAAAAGGTTTGGTAAAATTTAAAAGGAGCTGCATGTGCATCCGTTGCCACAGTTAAAATTATCATCATCCAGTCAAATTGAAGAAATTTGGCTTGTAACCCTTTTAAATTCAAATCCAATCAGACATCATCCATTGATAAATTTGAAAAAACAACAACAAAAAACTAAACAAAAATGTAGCGTAGTTTAAGCGAGCTACTAACTGCTGCATCCACATGCACTGTCGTTGCCACAGCAACTGCTCCTCTCCAAAACAAACGGACCCTCTAATTAAAACCGGTAAAAACACAGAATAAAGCTGTTTCACCTTAAAAGTCAGTGTTTTCATAGCTGCTGCTAACGTTAGCTCAGCTTGTTTCTCTGATAACTTAAGATCCAGACGTCCGATGACTAAAATCCTTCATCCGGTTCAAAT